ACATCTCATGGGACGAGTACTTCATGGCAGTGGCCTATCTGTCAGCCATGAGGAGCAAAGACCCGAACAGTCAGATCGGCGCCTGTATTGTGAACGAAGACAACAGGATTGTGGGCATTGGCTATAACGGGATGCCCTCTATGCCCACCGATTGCAACGATGATGAGTTGCCATGGAATCGCACCGCAGATAATATACTGGACACGAAGTACCCGTATGTCTGTCACGCGGAGATGAACGCCATCTTAAATAAGAACAGTTCAGACGTGAAGAAGTGCACCATTTTTGTGGGTCTCTTCCCATGCAATGAATGCGCGAAACTCATCATCCAATCCGGGATCACAAGAGTGGTCTACATGTCTGACAAATACCAAGACAAACCAGAGTTCATAGCATCCAGACGTTTGCTGACAATGGCTGGGATTAAGCTGGAACAGTTCACCACCAATAACACCCAGATAGTTATTGACTTAACCAAACTTAACCATTGAAGCATTCACTCGACATTTATTACACTTTTTATGACATATTTTAATGATTTATTTTTTAATTGCAGTTTATTTTGATTTTAAATTCAATGTCTATACAAAATTTAAGTGTTTTTTATAAATTGAATGAATTTTTATACTTTTTTGAAGTTTAATTTGATACTGTACCTTATTATACAAAGTTTGACTCAACCTCATCTACGGTAATGTATGATAAACTCAAATAGATTTTGTTGCATAAGAAATAAATGCTTTAAAAATATTGAGAGTTTTAGACTTTATTTCTAAAAATGAAACCAAAATCTCAATAATAGATAATCTATTGCTTACCCATATATCGGAGAAATTCAATTGTTATACAATTCATAGACTTATTGTACAAAATTGGGTCAAACATAACGAGAGGGGTTAAGAAGAGAGAGTGAAGGGAAAGGCTGTAGTGTGTGAGCCATTCCTCTGGAGTGGTGAGCAATGAACTGATCTATGGATGTGATGCAAGTAGTGGTGGAGCGGATGAATCCAAGTGTTGATGCCGTGGCTGTGATTGTGTTATGGCATAGAGAGCGACCAAATCTTTGGATGTTTTGGGGGGAGGGCTGTAAGGAATGGTTGTGTCGGTCATTGATCTGAAGGGGAAGTTCAATGACCTAAGATATGGGTTTATATGGGTTTGTATGGGTTGGCAACCTTTACAATGATTATCCCTTTCACTGTTG